TATACTAATTGGGTCAGAGGGACACAAAGGACACTTTTTGCTCCTTGCCCTCCTAGGTCGATTAGTTCCCAGGGACTATGAGCATCTCACAAAATGTCCTGTAATGGTGGTGGGTCATCTGACCTCTTGATCAAGGAGGCCAAGAGACCCCCCCAAATGAAGTTGAAACAGTGTCCAGTCTATAAAGAGGAGGGTCAACATGGAGAATCATTTCCTCCATGCTTCCAAGTGAAGCCAACCATGGTCGAGCAGGACCTTTGACTTATCTTCACATATGCAGAACTGGTAAAAGAAAGGAGCCAGGAGCTCCTCCCAAGCCCATATGACCCCTGAGGAACAGACCCTCAAATGACCTTAAGAGTAAAAATAAACTGATTTATTTGAGCCAACTGTATGGTCTTAAACTCCCAAAAGGAAAGTATAACCAAAGAGTAAAGTCATCAGTATATTTCTTTAAGAGTTCAAGGAATTACACTTCCCAGACATTAGGCTTAAGTCTATATAAAAAGTTATCTAGACAATTTTTTCTCATTGATGATTTTGTTCCCAATCAGAAACTGCTGCTCAGACATGAGGTGGAAGGTGAGAGCAGACATCTGAGATTGTTCTCCAATCTCCACACTGAGTCATGGCACTCACATCAAGTGGTTATACATATGCATCTCTCTCTCCTCTCTCTCTCTCTCTCTCTGTCTCTCTCTCACACACACAGTGTGTAGGAGACAGGAAAATTGCATTTTTGGGCTCCGTAGTGAGACAGTCTGGAAAATAAAGGAAGGGAGAAAGGGAAAAAGAAAGGGAGAGGAACTAGGGAAAGAAGAAAACTATACTTTTACATAAAGTTAACTGCTCAAGTACTAATATCTAAGTTTAGTTATAACTAAGATTTAAATACTATTTTGTATGAATAAAACAGGGATAATATCTAAAGATATTGTTTTAGGGTTGTAAGTCATATACAGTATTCACCAAAAATAGCTCAAAAAGAAAATTCCATGAAGTAAACAAAAGCTTAGTACAAATTCTTGCATAGAACAAGGGCTAAATAAGGGCTAGTCCCATTCAATTTAGAGCTTTACAGGCCAACATGTAGGGCTTTCACTTAAATGGAATTAACGATTTATTCATCCCTGGGATCAATGATTTAGTCATTCCTAATTTGAAATTTATCAGAAAATTAACTAATTTACAATAATCTATGCTATTCGTCCAAAAATTTATTTATATTTTCAACACACCAATATAGCATATTTTTCCAAGTCAGTAGCTTCAAATACCTTAAAGGTTATTTATTTTGGGCACTGACTACTCTTGCAGAGGACCCCAGTTCAATTCCCAGCACCCACATGGAGGCTATGAACCATCCTTACCTCCAGTTCCAGGGGAATTCGAAGGCCCCTTCTGACCTCCCCAGCATTGCACGACATGGGTGCACTCACATACATGCAGGCAATATACTCATACACATAAAATAAAAATAGTTTTAAAAAAAGATTTACTTTTATTTTATACATATGAGTGTTTGGCCTGCATGTATGTTTGCGTGCCATGTACGCTGAGTGCTAGTTGCTACAAAGGCTGGAAGAAGGAATCCGATCCGATCCCCTGGAACTGGAGTTACAGATGGTTGTTAGGAGCCATGTAGGTGCTGGGAACTGAACCCAGGTCCTCTGCAAGAACAGCCAGTGCTCTTAACCACTGAGCTATCTCTCCAGCCCCCACACCCAGTTTCAACTATGTTAAATCGTTTTTTCTCTGGGTGTATTGTGTATGTCTTGTATGTGGGTGTATGTGTATGTAAGTGCTCATGT